GGAAGGGACTTACACATACAAACCCCTGACTGACTCGGAGGCAGGGACTTATACATATAAAACTCTGGCTGACTCGGAGGAAGGGACTAATACATACAAAACCCCTGGCGAACTCGGAGGAAGGGACTTATACATATGAACGCCTGGCTGACTCGGAGGAAGGGACTTATACATAGGAACCCCTGGCTGACTAGGAGGAAGGGACTAATACATACAAACCCCTGGCTGACTCGGATGAAGGGACTTATACATATAAACCCCTGGCTGACTCGGAGGAAGGGACTTATACATACAAACCCCTGGCTGACTCAGAGATAGGGACTTATACATACAAGCCCCTGCCAGGAGCTGGGTGGGACACCGGCCAGGTCGTCACTGGTTTCCAGGAGCTGGGTGGCACTCCAGGGGCACAATTTGTAACCAGATACGCCTCTGGTTATAACCCCTTTCAGCTTTCCTTCTCCCATTGGAGAGGTTGCCTTTAACTTCCTGCCTAGATACTCACAACAGGAAGTGAATTGAAAGCCCCTCAATGTGAGGAAAATCCCTGGTGGTCACCAGGGTCACCAGAACTAGTGTAACATTTCCCATCTATTCCTGTTCTGGGGGCAACCCAAAATTTTGACTTTTGACTTTTTGAATTCACCAGGACAAATAGGGTGAATCTCCCTAACGGGGACACAGACAGCAATAAAAACCTGGAGGGGTTCTAATACCCTTACCACTCTATCCAATACTAAAAAAAAAGTTTTGGTTTCAGTTGCACTTTAAACTACAAAGTGGGAACAGGGCCTCTGAATTTTGATATAGTCCATCTATTAATTTAAAGTGTATATCCACCAAATAAATTTTTCTTTGGTTTGGATATGGATTTTGTTTAGTAGAGATTGGAGAAGTCCAGAACCCCTGTCAGATTTTTTTGCACACCACAAGCTTCTCACAATGTGTATTAGAAGCTGCAGCAAGTTAGATAGAGCCCGCCTCTATCTGACTTGCTGCAGCGCCTAATGCACATTGCAGTGTGCAGTGAAATCAGAATAAGCAATGTCAGTCCTGGAGAGGAGCCGGTATAACTGTGCAAGGGAAGGCCTGGAGTGCAGCTACCGGTGCCTTCATCTTGTTGCCTAGAGTTCTGCTTTGATGGGAGATTTGGGCAAGCTGTAGCTCTAAGAAATAAATAATTCCAGTCAGAAATGACCATTAAGAGGTTATAATGGTTGCCAGCATGTAAAATCCCTTCTTTGTCATTGCCTCTGTAGCCAGTCCTTGTTGTGTGCCCCCCATGAGATAACATCTACTTTACAACAAGTTATGAGACTTCATGTCCGAGTCTTCAATCATTTTTGGTGGGATCTGAGCCCCACCTTCTGATATGTGCCTGCACTGTTCCTAGACTCTGTTGGCTTCACACACATAAAACTTACCCCCACTCATGATGTAATCTCTAAAAAATGGTGCTCGGAACCAGAGCGGCAACATCAGGAGGTATGGTGAAATCCCGGGGTACAGCTCAGGAAACCCAGTGGCATGTGTACAGAAATTGGTGAAGGCTCCAGCAACCATAATGCCATGAGGATGGAAACCCACCACATAGTTCTGGCGAGGGTCGAGATCCGCTGTCTTCACTAACTGCAAAACACAAAGAACAGGATCACTAGAATTGTGGATTGATCTGCATAAAGGGACATACCTCTATGTATAAAGAGAGGTTGGCACAAACTAGAGCAGTGCCAGGGGTAACTGTTTAAAAAAAAAAAAAACAACAACTAGCAAAAGTGTGCACATTCCAGAAGTGGTAAGTCTATGTGAGGGTCAAAACAGAGTTCACTGTGCAGGTGGTGGGGCATAGAGGGTGCACCTAAGGAGCAGAGCTGTTTGCACTGATGAATCAGAGCAGGGGGTTATGACGGTTGAGGGGATACTGGAGGGGATGCATATGAGGGAGGATGAGGTGGCCAGGGAGGAATGTACTGTGACGCTGTGGTTGGCTGGCTGATCACGATGCCCAGGAGGTGAGGTAGCCAGGGGTGGATGTATGTGAACAGGGGCTTTGATGGCTGCGGAGAGATGTGCTGTGAGCTGGGGGTGAGGTCGCTGGGGAGAGATGTGCTGTGAGCTGGGGAGAGATGTGCTGTGAGCTGGGGAGAGATGTGCTGTGAGCTGGGGAGAGATGTGCTGTGAGCTGGGGAGAGATGTGCTGTGAGCTGGGGAGAGATGTGCTGTGAGCTGGGGAGAGATGTGCTGTGAGCTGGGGAGAGATGTGCTGTGAGCTGGGGAGAGATGTGCTGTGAGCTGGGGAGAGATGTGCTGTGAGCTGGGGAGAGATGTGCTGTGAGCTGGGGAGAGATGTGCTGTGAGCTGGGGAGAGATGTGCTGTGAGCTGGGGAGAGATGTGCTGTGAGCTGGGGAGAGATGTGCTGTGAGCTGGGGAGAGATGTGCTGTGAGCTGGGGAGAGATGTGCTGTGAGCTGGGGAGAGATGTGCTGTGAGCTGGGGAGAGATGTGCTGTGAGCTGGGGAGAGATGTGCTGTGAGCTGGGGAGAGATGTGCTGTGAGCTGGGGAGAGATGTGCTGTGAGCTGGGGAGAGATGTGCTGTGAGCTGGGGAGAGATGTGCTGTGAGCTGGGGAGAGATGTGCTGTGAGCTGGGGAGAGATGTGCTGTGAGCTGGGGAGAGATGTGCTGTGAGCTGGGGAGAGATGTGCTGTGAGCTGGGGAGAGATGTGCTGTGAGCTGGGGAGAGATGTGCTGTGAGCTGGGGAGAGATGTGCTGTGAGCTGGGGAGAGATGTGCTGTGAGCTGGGGAGAGATGTGCTGTGAGCTGGGGAGAGATGTGCTGTGAGCTGGGGAGAGATGTGCTGTGAGCTGGGGAGAGATGTGCTGTGAGCTGGGGAGAGATGTGCTGTGAGCTGGGGAGAGATGTGCTGTGAGCTGGGGAGAGATGTGCTGTGAGCTGGGGAGAGATGTGCTGTGAGCTGGGGAGAGATGTGCTGTGAGCTGGGGAGAGATGTGCTGTGAGCTGGGGAGAGATGTGCTGTGAGCTGGGGAGAGATGTGCTGTGAGCTGGGGAGAGATGTGCTGTGAGCTGGGGAGAGATGTGCTGTGAGCTGGGGAGAGATGTGCTGTGAGCTGGGGAGAGATGTGCTGTGAGCTGGGGAGAGATGTGCTGTGAGCTGGGGAGAGATGTGCTGTGAGCTGGGGAGAGATGTGCTGTGAGCTGGGGAGAGATGTGCTGTGAGCTGGGGAGAGATGTGCTGTGAGCTGGGGGTGAGGTGGCTGGGGAGAGATGTGCTGTAAACTGGGGGTGAGGTGGCCAGGGAGGGATGTGTGGTGATATGGGGTTGAGATAGCAGGGGAGGAATGTACTGTGAGCTGCAGGTGAGGTGGCTAGGGAGGGATGTGCTGTGAGCTGTGGGTTAGGTGGCTGGGGAGGGATGTGCTGTAAACTGGGGGTGAGGTGACTAGGGAGGGATGTGCAATGAGCTGGGGTTGAGATAGCAGGGGAGGGATGTACTGTGAGCTGGGGGTGAGGTGGCTATAGAGGGATGAACTGTGAGCTGGGGGTGAGGTGGCTGGGGAGGGATGTGCTGTGAGCTGGGGGTGAGGTGACTAGGGAGGGATGTGCAATGAGCTGGGTTGAGATAGCAGGGGAGGGATGTACTGTGAGCTGGGGGTGAGGTGGCTATAGAGGGATAAACTGTGAGCTAGGGGTGAGGTGGCTGGGGAGGGATGTGCTGTGAGCTGGGGGTGAGGTGACTAGGGAGGGATGTGCAATGAGCTGGGTTGAGATAGCAGGGGAGGGATGTACTGTGAGCTGCAGGTGAGGTGGCTATAGAGGGATGAACTGTGAGCTGGTGGTGAGGTGGCTGGGGAGGGATGTGCTGTAAGCCAGGGGTGAGGTGGCTAGGGAGGGATGTGCGATGAGCTCGGTTGAGATAGCAGGGGAGAGATGTACTGTGAGCTGGGGGTGAGGTGGCTATAGAGGGATTAACTGTGAGCTGGGGGTGAGGTGGCTAGGGAGGGATGTGCGATTAGCTGGGGTTGAGATAGCAGGGGAGGGATGTGCTGTGAGCTGGAGGCGAGGTGGCTGGGGAGGGATGTTCTTTGAAAAAGAGGTGAGGTGGCTGGGGAGGG